GTCGTTCTACTCAGGGTAATAACCTGAGGTGACACTAAGCGAGGAGTTTAGAAAGGTGCCCTGATGACCTATCTTTTTAGATCAAATCTTGATATTAATTATAAGTATGAAATTTAATACATCCGACATGTGTTCTAAGAAATAGAAAGGCTTATATAAATGCTTCATTTTAAAGAGTATCATCAACAAATCTGACAACAAATTCTGCAGAGCATGTAGAAAGAAATGAACCCTTACTCACTGTTGATGGGAATGCAAATTATTGCAGAGATCATGGAAAGCAGTTTGGAGATTGCTCAAAGTTTCAAATAGAACAGCCATAGGGCCCATCTTTAGGACAGCCATAGGACCCATCTATAGGGTAGACATAGGATCCATCTATAGGGTAGATATAGGACCCATCTATGGGACAGCCATAGGACCCATCTATAGGACAGCCATAGGACCCATCTATAGGACAGCCATAGAACACATTTATAGGAGAACCATAGGACACATCTATGGGACCCATCTATAGAACAGCCATAGGACACATCTATAGGACAGCCATAGGACCCATCTATGGGACAGCCATAGGACCCATCTACAGGGTAGACATAGGACCCATCTATAGGACAGCCATAGAACACATTTATAGGAGAGCCATAGGACACATCTATAAGAGAGCCATAGGACACATCTATGAGACCCATCTATTGGACAGCCATAGGACACATCTATAGGACATACATAGGACCCATCTATAGGGCAGCCATAGGACCCATCTATAGGGCAACCATTGGACACATCTATAGAACAGCCATAGGACACATCTATAGAACAGCCATAGGACACATCTATAGAACAGCCATAGGACCTTTCTATAGGGTAGACATAGGACACATCTATAGAACAGCCATAGGACCTATCTATAGGACAGACATAGGACCCATCTATGTGACAACCATAGAACCCATATATAGGACAACCATAGGACCCACCTATAGAACAGCCATAGGACCTATCTATAAGACAGACATAGGACCCATCTATAGAACAGACATAGGACCCAACTATAGGACAACCATAAGATACACCTATAGGAGAACCATAGGAACCATCTATAGAACAGACATAGGACCCATCTGTTTTACTCCTGGCAGATAACCAAAGAACTCCATTCATTCACAGAGATATTCATACTCCCATGTTTACTGCTGCTCTATTCACCGCAGCAAAGAATTGGGATCAACCTAGTTGTCCATCAACAGATAAATGGATAATGAAATATGTGTATGTAAATATATATGTGCATATAAATGTGTGTGTGTGTGTATTCCACTTTAAGAAAAAATGAAGTTAAATAATTTGTAGAAAATATTTGGGCTTGAAATATATTAATTTTTTGTTTCCCCTCCCCCTATTCCTGCCAGTTCCTCTCCACCTCCCCTCCCATCAGATCCACACCGTTTCTGATTCTCTTTAGAAAACCAACAGGCATCTAAGGAATAATAACAAAATAAAATACAATATGAAAAGCACAAAAGAGTCCAAGAAAAAGGCCAAGAAACACATATAGACTCAGAGACCTATTCACACACACAGGAATCCCACAGAACTGGATGCCATGATATTTATTTGAAAAGAATCTATAAAGTTTTTGTTTTTGTTTTTGTTTTTGTTTTTTAAAAAAAAAGCCTTGATTCAACATTATGAGATAAAGAACCTCCAAACATGTTGTTGAGTTCATTTTGTTTTGGTCATCTACTTCTGGGCATGGAGCCTACCCTGAAGAGTAGTTTGATTCCCCAGTGAGACCTCCTTGGAAGAAACTAGATTTTCACTTGCAAGTAGATGTCAGTTGGAGGTAGTTTCTCGCTTAAAGGTTGGGGCGTGTGTTCACTTCTCCTTTCTGCTCTAGGATCCCATCTGCAGACCTGTGCAGGCCTGTGCATGCTGCCTCAGTCTCTGTGAGTTCGTAAGTGCATTGGTCCTGTTCTATTTAGAAGGTCTTCTTTTCTTGGTCTCCTCCATCCCCGCTGGCCTCCTGCTATGCTTTTAAATCGTATACCTAATTCCAAGATTCCACATCCTTAGGAAGCTGCAGTCATTTTACTCACGCCGCTTGTTGACGGGAATGAGCATTAAGACTGGCACCTTGTGTTCCTGTCCTGTAGATGAAAGCATATATGTTGAATGTACCCAAGAGAAGATGGACACTAAGTCAGCTCTTTCTTCTTTTCACTTTTATTTTATTATCCTATCATTCAATACTAAATGGCCAGGGACAGAAAGGAAATTGTTGATTCCTAGAAATTTTTATTACTACTCATTGCTGATAATAATTTTTAGCAATAACCCCACCAGCTAGCTGTGTCTGGCTCCTAAGTTGTAGGAGGAGGCCAACAACTGCAGGGGGCTGGAGCCCACATCGCCTTCCCTCCTCCCCTCAGAGGCTACCCCCTGTCTGGTTTTGAAATATCAGACAGTTTCTTTATCTAATCTATCCCGTTACCTCCCCCCACCACCACCCCATCAAAGAAAGGAACAGAATTCAATCAAAGTTTGTCAGAGTCTTGTGTTTGTGTGTTTGACTCCAGTAGATTATTTGCTTAGTACGAAGTTTCAAAATTTCTACGTACTAATGGGGTGTGTTATGACTATGGTGACCTTCCCTGGCAGTATCCTGTTCCTTTAAGAGACAAGCTCCTCCCATTCCCAGTCCCTCCCTCCCTCCTCCCTCACTCCCTTCTCTCTCTCTCTCTCTCTCTCTCTCTCTCTCTCTCTCTCTCTCTCTCTCGCCACTCTCTTTCTCCCCCTACACCTCCTTTTAATAAAATTTCACACTCAGTCTCTGTCCTCACAACATATTCTGTTTCCTACCCGCTGGGTTCCCCACCCTCAGTGGAAGCCGTCATGGTCACAGCTACCACCACGGAGGTGACACATCACCACAAGCACATATTTTCTAATCCAGTTAAAGACATCTAGTGCTCCAAACACCATTCATTCCAAAAATCACTTTTATTCTTTTAATTAGTCTATAGTAACAGGTTTTCTCATGACATTTTCAAACTTAGTTCCAACAGATCCACCCCCACCATCTCCCACCTCTCCACACCTTCCCCGTTTGTCTCTTCCTCCCCCAGCTCTTCCCTTTCCACTTCCAGATCTAGAGGGTGAGTATGTTCCATCAGCCTCCCACCCCTCTTCCTCAGAGCCTCCGTTTCCACAACGTGAGCCCCTTCTGGTTTCATGACCTCCTCCCACACTCACCCCCACACGGCACAAGTTTGTGCAAACTAGAAACAGATCTGTAAGTGAGAGGAAGCACACAGGTTTTGTCTTTCTGACATAACTGACCTCGTTTAATACACATTTTCCAGTTCTATTCATTTTCCTGCAGATTTCATAATACATTTTTCACAGTTTAATAATATTCTTTTGTATAAATGTACCACACTTTTGTTACTCATTCATCTGTTGGAGGGCGTGTAGGCTGCCTCTACTTCCTTGCTATCATGACGGGAACGCTAATAAGCATGGTCATGCGAGTGTCTCTGTAGTAGGGATACAGAGTTCCTCGGGTAGGTGCTCATGAATAGCATAGCTGGATCCTATGGTGAATCTACTTTTGCTTTTTAAAGAAGCCTCCAGACCGGTTTAAACAGTGGTCACACCAGTTTATAGTCCCACTAACAGTAGGCAAGATCCTCATAAAATGTTGTCACCTGATTATAGCCATTCAGATTGGGGTGTTTGGCAGAAAAACATTTAACATCTTTTCTTTTACCTTTTGATATGTGCATAGCACAATGGTTATCCGTGTAACCCTTCTGTACAACCGCTTCCTAGAGTTCCTTATTCATATTCAACCAAAGCTCAGTCAGTTCCTGTTGACCAACCTCTCCCCATCCCCCTTCTTGTCCACTCTCCCCAGTCATTGGTGACTATCATTCTTCTACCCAGACCTATGAGACCAACATTTTATATTCCACTTATAAATGACATCATAAGACCACGTGGTACTTGTCTTTCTATCTCTGACTTGTTTTACACCATTTAACACAATACTCTCAAGTTACATACATGTTGTCATGGCTAAGTGGTATTTCATTGTGTATATGTACCACATTTTCTTTATCCATCCATTAGGTCATTGATAGACATTTAGGTCACTTGTTTCTCAGTTGTTGGTAAGAGTGTTGTGATAAACATGGCAGAACATATATTTCTCTAATTTGATATCATTTTCTTTGGACATGTACACAGGAATGGGACAGTAGGATCACACAATAGTTCTGTTTTTTATGTGTATGAGTGTTTAGTCTGTCTACATGTCTGTGCACTAGGGGTGTGCAGTAGCACAGGAGGCCAGCAGAGAGTGTCAGATACCCTGGGACTGGAATCATAGACAATTTTGAGCCTCTCAGTGGGTGCTGGGAATCAAACCCAGGCAGTCAGTGCTCTTAACTGCTGAGCCATCTCTCCAGCCATTTTCAGTTCCCACCAGCAGTAAGCAAAAGATGCTGTTGCTCTGTATTCTCACCAGCACCCAGTGTTCTCCAGTTAACTCTTTAAAGTACTTTAGCTTCTAGTGTGTGTGTGTGTGTGTGTGTGTGGTCACCTCTCGTCGTTTTGATTTGCAGTATTCCCCAATACACAGCATCTTCTCATGAGCTCCTTTGTGTATATTTTATTTGGCATGTCTGAACAAGTGTGTCTTTTTAACAGTCCTTCTGGGTGATCCCGAAAACTAAACTCAGAGGGGATACTTCTAGATGCATCATCTTCTGCTTCTCACCTTTGTTTAACCACTCAATTCCCTCCACAGTATCCTGGACAGGAGTGGAAATACTTTCCTGTTACCTCATTCTGCAGCTTGAGATTTGTATCATTTTGCTTATCCATCAACAATGCAAGTGAGTAGAAGAAGAACCTATTGCCAGGAGCATCCCTACACATGGTTTATAACAGCAGCTTAGAGATGCACCGGCTTCTACAGATTGATGGATTCTTACTCATAAAATGTGATTCCACAGGTCACGAGGGTCACCTCATCTGGCATCTTAGGGTCTTCCCAGGCAAGGATATTTTGGGTGTTCTGTTCATAACTCAGGACATATATTGTTTGCTTGATAAAATAGAAGCTATAAGTCCACCTATAAAGAACAGATGATTTAATTTAGATTAGGATTTAAATTATTAAGTAATTTAGATTACTTAATACCAAACAAATAACAGTACACTAAAAACTTTAAATTTCCCTAAATGGGCACTGATACCAACGCCGATTCTACTCTTTATCGTAAAAAGAAAGTTTCTACTCAAGCTTTAGATGTCTTGGGGTGTGTGCCACTCACACTCCTGGAGACTCGTCTCTTCCTACTGTTCTCTGCTCCTTCAGAGCTTGTTATCCATCTCTTCTATAGGACGGGGTCCACTGCCTCCTCCACTCCATCATCAACACGGTGTGCTAGGGATACCCAGATCCTCATCAAGCAGACCCATAGTGCTCTTCCCCTTTCTTTGTTCTTTACTTGCTTTGGAAGGTCAGAATAGACCACCCCCGCCACCACACCCATCAGCTAGACATGTGGCACATTCTTAAGCACCCCTACTTGCCATAAGCTAGACATGTGGCACATTCTTAAGCATTATCAGAGTTTTCCCATTTAATTCCATTCAATTATCTAGTAATTATTCTTTTCATGACCTTTTATAGTCATCTCTATGCGACGCGCATCCTGACCAGCAGGAATGAACGCCACTAAAAACGAGAATTCCTTCCCTGGTCACGTCTTTATTCGGAGCATTTGATTGAGGAAAATTGGGGGAAGGGAAGATAGAGCAGGGACGAGAGAAAGCTTAGAGAGAGCAAGTAGAGCCCAGAGGCAGCTGCTTTTAAACGGTGGAGAGACTTGAACGCTGTCCTGATTGGTTAATGCCATTCTGCTGGTCTGAGCATGTGCAAGCAAGGGTGCAGGCAAGGGTGCTCAGCCCCACGTGGCTAAGCCAGGTATACCTCCAAACTGCAGGACCACCTGTGCCTCCAGGTGGCTTCCTACATCACCCCCGCCACCACACCCATCAGCTAGACATGTGGCACATTCTTAA